CACCTTTGCAAAGCTTCAGCAGCCCTTCCGAAGAAGGGATGGGGCAGGCACTGAGAGCAGTTATTAAGGTGCCTGAATAAAAGTGCAGTGCATTTTGCTGCTCAGGTGTTGGGAACATAGCGGTCCGATCCGCTCTCTCGTTTTCTCTTGCAGTGGTCATACGGCTTCTACCTAATTCACCTTCAGGGGAAGCAGGGCTTCCAGTTCTTCTGCAAGACGGAGGAAATGAAGAGGAAGTGGATGGAGCAGTTTGAAATGGCAATGTGAGCATGAGTGGCTGCTCTAGCCCTGGCATGCAGTTGCCCACCATGGGGCAACAGTGTCTTGGACTAGCAGGTTGCCGGAGACCAGCTCCGATAGCAAAGCCTGTGATGGGGAAGCTGGGTGGGTTCCTGGGCAAAGGGAGCTTGGGTCCAGCATGAAATAATCTACCCTGAGTGCCTGCACCAAAGCATGGGTGGTGCATCTCTGAAATGATGCCTTGCCGTGGTGTCTGGCCCTGGGTGAAGCACCGAGCTGGGGCTGGGGGAAGGCGTTGCAGGAGGGGGGGCTGCTGCTGCTGCGAGGAGCTGGTCCTGAGCAGGGCAGGGCTTGGCCACGCGCTGGTGGGTCCGGGCTGTTCATTGACTCAGGCAAGGGCCAAATCCGTGAATGCTGTCCCAGGGGAAGGTTGATGGGCAAAATCCTCCCTTTGCACAGTCAAGCCCTGAGTCTGCTTTCACACTTGATTTCGTATCTGTCCGTGTGGTTTCCAAACTTTGACTGAAATGCAAAGAGCAGCTGCTGTGACAGGTCAGGAGTGCAGCGTGGCTCGTAGGGATGGGTTGATAACCTCCCGGTCCTTCCCCTTAGGTCCAACATAAAGCCAGAGAAAGCCAATGCAAATCACCATAACTTTCAGATGTACACATTTGAAAAGACTACCAACTGCAAAGCCTGCAGGATGTTCCTGAGGTGAGCAACACCCTTCCAGCTTTTCGGCATTAAAACACGGAAAGAAAATCTCAACGCTGAGACTGAATTAACACTTTCTGACTTCTTTTTCTGTGCAGAGGAACCTTCTACCAGGGCTATCTTTGCCCCAAATGTGGAGCGGGTGCTCATAAGGAGTGCTTGGAGATCATCCCTCCCTGCAAGATCGGTGAGTTATTCCACAGCATGAGCAGCTTGTGCCAAGGAGGTGAATGCTGCATGTGAATGATCTAAAAGATTCGCTCTATAAAGCACTAATGTTTGTTAATGCATAACAAAATCTAAGTACGCTCCCACCCACCTCCCGGGGCTGTAATTCACACTGGCTGATGGTTTAAAAAACAAACCAACCAACCAAACTCCCAAAACCTGAATCCCATGTAGGTCAGAGGATCGCAGCAGGTCTGTGTGCGAGGTGGGATGCGCCCAGCCCTCGTGCTGGGAGGGCATTTAAGAGAGATGATGTGTTCTTCATCAGAAAACTTCAGTTAGTGAAAGCGGGAGCGTCTGCACCAGGGATCACATTTCCGATGAGGAGAGACCTCGTCTCCGGATCCCAAACACCCCATAGTACAGCAAACATTTGTGTCCTAGGTCTAAACTGGGCAGACCTGTGAGTCACCTCTGCTCAGCTGAGTTGGAGCCCTGGCACTGCTTGGTGCAGGGACTGTCACAGGGTGGCTTTGGGGAGGTTTTGGGTGGGGAATGGAGTGAGGAGGAAACAAAATCACTGAAGTTTGTGCAAGTGAGAAAATCCCCTTGTCCAGCTCTAGTCCCTCCCCAGGTCTTGCCCAGCCGGTGCAGAGCGATGACTCGAGTGACCCCAGCCTCTGCCTTGTGCTTCCTCCATCAAGTTCAAGCACTGATGCCCATTTATTGATACTCGCAGCATGACGCGAAACAGAAAATGATGTTGATTGCCTGTTAAATTAACTACTTATTCACCATTTCTCTTGCAGGTTCTTCAGCAGACCAGGTACGTTGTTTGATGGCCCTTTTCCCGCATCCCCCTCTGTATCCTTGCCCGGTCCGGGTGCGGGCAGCTCCTGGGAAGAGCAA